CTCCTTAATGTTATTTTTCGGATTGGTAATTCTTTTTTAAACAGTCCTTAATCACTGTATGTCGTGAGACACTAAAATCAAAAAACGGAAATCTCATTTAGACTTTAATTTTTTGAGATTATCGGCAGCACAATCACTTGTAGAAACTGTACAAAAATAAAAATATCTCCTAGTCCCTTAATTTTTTTTCATAAATACGCCTGGCTTTTAAATAGTTTATTTATATTGTATATCATAGTTTCAACTGTAGACAATTATGATGCTAATTTATTGTTCCCTGGTTTCACCTTTGTAAAAGATTTAGCCAAGACTGAAGAAACCAAATATATGTGTTTACTGTAGCATGTGTGTCTCCAAGTTAGTGGAACATAGTTCAGGGACATTAGAAGGGTCTTAATGAATTAAAATCATTCACTTGATTAAATGTCTGTAAATTTTCATAATTCTTACTATAGTTTATTTAATATCTATTGTAAAATATGTGACTTGTAGCTTCCTCTGTTTTCAAGTAAATTTGACATGGTGGAGTCTTACCTGGTTTTCCTTTACGAGCATTGTAAGTTGTATACCAAAGATATTAGTTATTATTTCTGTATGTATAAAAAGGATTATTTTATTATTTTTATTAATCACCTCTAATACTCGTCCACATGAAGGGTACACATGAGCAAAGCTGGGCGTCAACTCTTACAGAATCTCTGTCACCTGTGTTAACTTCATGTCTCAAAGGGAAATGAAAAATCGTCGATCCAAGCTCATACTCAAAGCATTACACATAGAATAGCAGCATCAGCACCCTCCACGGTTAGAAACCAAGTTGGCTGGAAGATGCATAAAGAGGAATGGTGTTGTCGATAGCTAATGGAATGGTTCCATCACAGATGTAACATGGGTGGAGATGATTATGCGAGTTGAAGGATAGTGACGTGTAGGTTCTTAACACTGAAAAAAAAATACACTGATTCGAGTTTTGTTTTGTTTTAGCATTGGGGTCTTGCTCATTGCCCAGGCTACAGTGCAGTGGCATCATTGCAACCTCAAACTCCTGGGCTCAAGTGATCTTCCTGCCTCAACCTCCCAAGTACCTGGGACAAGCATGTGCCACTGTGCCCAACTACACTGTCTCTTAAAATCCATGTTTTATTTTACATATACAGTACTCCCCCACTGAATATTAAACCTAAAAAATGTAGACTATTGGGATGGTGTTCCCCTAGTAGGTTACATCATGAGAATGGTTAAAAAGCAACACACTAACTTCTGTCCTCACTGCTGATGACACCAAGGACAGGAGTTGATAAGCGAGGATCCACCACAGCCAGCATCTGGCCCACTCACAGTTGGCAAGTGAAATTTCTTTAATAATTGTTAGCCAGTTTGCAACCTGACATCTATTGAGCGACTGCCTTGTCAATGACAGGACTTCTTAGTCAAAGCAGACTGGAGTCTAAAGGTTTTGGCTTCACTTGGTTTATTATAGTTGGTCTGTGTTTGTAAACACCCGGTCTGTACTGTCTGAATATTTGTGTTACAGATCTGCAGCTGCCTCAGACTTGAACCCATGCAATGTTTAGAGTGTGAAGTTGGTTACTCGTTGATGTTTCCTTAACTGTATCAGTGGAACACATATTGTCATGTCAGTTCATGCCAGGAATTTCTCAATGAAATGGAAAATCTTTTTCAGCATTTCAATAAATATTGATATGCCCAAAAAAAAAAAAAAGTGGGATTGGTGTTCTCTGCCCTGGAATGCAGGTGAGCTCCATGACTGGCCAGCATGGTAGAGTAGAAATAAAACTTTGCTGGTGTCTGTGCCCAGCTTAAAAAACTGACAGCTTCCTCTTCCTGTGACTCTGGACCACGATACTAAAGGGACTACATTCTAGCCCAGCCAAGACATAAGACACATGTAGAAAACCACTTTACGTCTCCCGACCAGCATTTCCACCAGAAGCAGAAGGACCCTCAGCCACTGCCACTTACAGCACAAGAATCACTGAACTCACTCAGGCCCAAATCTCTGGCCCGCAAAATCCTCAGATATAATAAAAGGGTCCTTTGAAATCACTAGGATCTGGAACAATTTGTAATAGAATAATAGATACCCAGGACAACTTTGGCTTCAAAATATCAGAAAATCCTCAAGCTCTGTAGCTGAATTTCCCACTAAAGAAGATCCTTTAACATCTGAAAGAGCCCCTGGCAGAACAAACCACCCCAGGGCCAAACTCTGAAAGATCTGGTCAATTCCAGGGCTTCTGTAAGGAAGCAGCCAGAACCCAAGAAACACTCTTGAGATTTTTGACCCTAAAATTTGAACTTGCTCACTCTCTTAATACAGTTATGTCAAACACATGTTATAGGCTAAGCATTGTGCCAGGCACCGGGATGACCAGGGTGAGCAAGTCACACGCCTGCCCTCTTTATCACTGACCTTCCAGTTGTCCCCAGCACCTCAGCTTTTTCTCTGCTCAGTTGCCATCCTCCAATCCCTGGCTCCATGTGTTCAAATCAACAGACACACAAATGTGGGTTTGCTGGAGTCCATGACATTCTATGCCCTCCCCTTATATACAGGTGACCATAAAGTTCATAAAATAGTTGTCATTTTAAATTGCACACAAACATTATGGCCACCCTGTATGTGAATATAGCTCTAAAATCACGTCTTTCCCAGGAAAGAGCCACTTAACCGAAAAAAAAAAAAAAAA